TCACTGGATGCTAAAAATTACAGTAATGGCAACCAAGACAATAAGAGGAAAAAGAGGAAATGAACCATCATGTAGGACATAATGTGGTCTGGACTTCGAGATGGACTCTTGACCTCAGACATGCTGCAACAGACACAGGGGGAGTGGTTTAAAGGACAGAGGAAGGAATCCTTGACTTCTTGGATTAAAAAAAAGTTCTCCGACCTGATAAAAACAGATATGTTAACCCTCTACTGGGTAAGAAACCTGTGAACCTCCACACACTTCATAATGTATTAACATCTGTACTCCCCCCCAACTAGTCAATGAACAATCGAAAATTATGCAATTATGGAATTATAATACAGTATTTAGAAAAATCATGCACGGTCTTGTTATGTACGCAAATGAATGTATAGATTCCGAATTTTCAGTAGATGAGCCGTGATTGGTTGTTTCCTGAGCCCTGAGCAACTGTGATGTCATTTTCAGTCGACAGCGAGTGGCAAAATGGCCGCCCCCTGAGATGGACAAGTCATATTCCACAAAAACAATATTAATCAGAACTCTGTGTTTAGACTAGTGGGAGTGCATAGAACACATTTCAAAAGAAACTTTGGGGTTGACTTCCTCTTTAATTTTATAGAAGTGGTTGACAAGAAAATAGTAAAGTCATTCCTGCCTATCAGTTTTTTGTTTTCTGTTCTTTTTTTTTTTTTTTTTGCTTTATGTGTAGCTGATTCTCGACTAGTAATTTGTTTTGGCGATATCACTGTCGGAGAAATTCAGCCATTTGGGAATTCTGAATTCAAAATATCAACTTTTCAACCTTTCAAAATATGTGGAAAAAAAGTATCTTTGGAATTCAAACCAACCAGGTTCGAACCCTACCAGTGATATTAATGGTAATAATTCCTTACCTTAGCTTATACACTGGGCTAATCAAGTTAATGATAAGTATTCCCATGATTTACTGATATCAAGAAGTGGTTAAGAGTTGAGACGGTGACCCAGTGTCCTGCAGTCGGCCATGTTGCAATCTGACTTTGGAAAGACTGTGTGCGACATGTGCTACAATACTGTGTCGTTTCTGCAATAACGCTAAAGCTATTGTTGCTGTCATGCAGCTTGACTGTGGGTCAACAATGGCAAACGGGCTTCAGAAAAGAACTGGATTGCCCATTTGTGCATACCAACTGCATTCACAAAAGGTAAGCATTACACGTATGTTCTGCTATCAAAGATTTTAACAAAAAATGTAAATGCCAAGGGGGAAAAAAACCCACACCATATTATACCAAACCCCAGATACCGTGCAAATATGCCTCATAGTGGCTGTGAGGAGCATAGGCGATGACTTCAGAGAAATTTGGCTGGTCACTTGGTAAGGTTACCCCTTGACATAATGGTCATGACAGTCATTTGACTCCACTGGGAAGAAAAACAAAAACAATGTTGATGTAAAATATTTATGAGATGGCGGTTTTCACTGCAGAAAAAAAATGTGCATGTAATGTCTAATCATTGTCAAAAAGACTACAATAGGTTTTTGTAATATAACAAAGGACGCTAGGATAAAACATTGTAAAACCTTTACCTCCAAACTTTTACCTCTTACCTGACAAAAAAAAAACTTTTCAAAAGGGGAGTAAAAATAAACAAATACTGTTGCGCAAGTGTGCACACCCTCTAATAACCGGGATGTCGCTGCATTCAGAAATGCCGAATCACATTCAAACTCATGATAGTTGAAGTCTGCACACACCTGCCACCATTTCAAGTGCCTCTGATGACTCCCAAATCAATTTCAGATGTTCTAGTAGGCTTTTTCTTACATTTTTATGCCCTCCAGGGAAGCTTGAAGTTTTTGTGCTAAAACAGAGTTATACTTGACACTGGTCATAATTCTCTCAACGTTTTCCCAATTTCCTGGACTTAAACTTGATATATTTTCAGACCAAACCTCAAAACATCCTTGTGTTGGCCATTCTTCACCGCCTAACCAGAGCAGACCTACATACATAATTCAGAGGAATCCACAAACACACCCGACAAATTGCCTCAAGGTTATCACAATGAGGCTAAACAAAAAAATTCTAATCAACTTGTCATGCATGTTTTGTCTTAAGAACTCGGTTAAATGCTAGACATTTGAATACTTGTGGATAGCAAATTTATATTCCGTCTGTCTGCTCTATTTTGGTCCTGCTGCTTGATCTGACAGACTGGATCCATGCCCATTTAGTCACGTGTCTGCTTGCGTGGTGTACACACACAGACAAATCCGATCAAATCGAATGCTTTATGGAGTGCCTTGGATTAAAAGAGACCAATGTGAAAATCCTGGACTCAACTGATCAGATATGATACAAGAGCTTTGTCAAATCTGCACTCTGCAACACGGAGAATGAAAGACACCGACAGATTCGAGGAAGGCAGACAGAAGCACGGAGCGAGAAATTGCGTGCTGGATGGGTGGGTGGGTTTGGGACAGTTGCTAACCTGTGAAGGATTAACCTGTCCCAATGCCCAGTTTCCCTCTTATTAATTTACATAGTGTTTGTACTGATAAAAAAAAAAAAAAAATTAAATCACAGGACATGCTATTTAGACAGGATCCTATTTTTTTCTAACGGTGCTAATTATCCTAAATTACCCGGAAAAATACAATTTAACTTTTTTTTTTTTAAGTCTTTGTCTTCTTGCTTGCTGGACCCAAAAGTAAAAAGAAAAAGGGAAGGTTAGCCTCAGATTTCAAGAAGGAAATTCAGAAAATTTAATGTCATTGAAGTACGGTACTTATGTTTATCCTCCATATCATTCTAAATCCGCAAAAAGTATCAGACATAATCATGTATGGGACACTGTAAAACCCACTGTAAGTGCAAATATATTACATATATTACAATTTAAAACTCCATTCGACCGCTGCACATTTGCATTTCGGCACCTGCATATTTACAGATTCCCCTCCACGATTTTTTTTCTCAGTTTGGGGTTGCCAGTTGCCCATCCCGACCTAGATTATACTCACTATGGCACTGCCACTTGCAACGTTGTGTAATTCAACCCCAGACCGTTTTTAAAATTCTGTATACTTTTTGTAATCCCTCAAGGGGACGTTCAATGATCATTAGTAAATATTATTGGCCAAAATACAATCCCAACCTTACATTTTGTGCCCTGTGGAGGCATGGGCTCACTGAGTGGAATGTATAGTGACAGATGTAAAAACACACACACACGCACGCGCACACAAACACGCACGCACGCACGCACACACACACACACACACACACACACACACACACACACACACACACACACACACACACACACGAAAGTGGGTTGGTAACATCAAAGACATGAAAGCTCTGAGCATTGAGACACATGGATGGTATCTTTGAAAAAAAAAAAAAAGGACAGCGCAGATCTACACACTCCATAAACCTTAGGCTGACGAACTGTGAGCTAAAATTTCCTTTTTTGCCCAAAACATGCTTTGTGGTAAAAACGTTTCACAATTTGTGGGAGTTGACGAACTGTGAGCTAAGATTTCCCTTCTTACTAAAAACATGCTTTGGGCTGACAACGTTTCACAATTTGCAGGGGGTTGATTTAGCTTTATTTATTTTTTGCAATGGCAGTTGAGCTCATTCACACAAGTAAGACAGAAAGAGACCTGGGTTGTGACTGTATTTTACGGCAGTAGCAACGAAATTCAACCATGTAAAAACAAAATTTTGAAACACTAAACTTTCCACCTTATTTTGAGACTCTTGATGGTGGGAAAGGCCATCTTCATAGTTGACGTTTGGAGGTCGTAAAAGTTTAAACTTCATGAGTGTTATTTCAAGCGGCGATCTGCCAACTTTCTTTTTTTCTTCTTGAAACTTGAAAATGTCACCTTTTCAGTAGAAGTGGAACGTAGCGTAACTCGGCTTGTTTTGCATGTTTCTAATTAGGTGTCCTCTTCTTCAACTACTCCGCCTCCACCAACTCTGTGTTTGCATCCTGTCCGTAGAGCAGCCAACCAGAGGCGAGCATTTCTCCTCTTGAATCATAGACAAAAACTTTAGCAAGATTCCGCATTAGAGCGGAATTGTATGTAAACGTCGCCGCCATATTGTACGTGTCAAAGTGGAGTGATTTGTTTGCTGCTTGGAAATGTATGGGCGCTCATAGCCGGATTTCATGGGTTTAAATGTGAACAATAACACCTATAGCAACAAAGGAGATTAAAAATGATGAATAACAGGTAGAACCTTTGACAGTTTTAACACTAGAACAGAGAGAAACATTGTCAAACATTGGATGATTTTTTTCCCCCTATTTCTGTGTGTCACACATAGGGAAAAAATCATTAAAAATCATACAGACACATGTATGGGTGAGTGGGTTTGGGTGGATGTGTGAATGTCACGATCTTTGTCTTTTGTTGAAATGAGTTGTGTAAAAAAGAAGAGAGAAAAAAAATCGGCCGATTTTTGTTGATTTGAAAAGAGCCAACATCCACCAGTTTATTAATCATTCAGGCCATATTTTCTATAAACTCTTACTGTGATAATAAATATTGAAATATAGGCATTTCTGTTTTGAATGTACTGTGCAGTACCTTTGAGTGTCCATTAAAGTGCTACATCCATACAATCTCCAAACTGCTGATAGATTTGAGTTTATAATATTATGATAACAAAATGATAATCATCAGATTACAATTTATATGTGTTGTTTAATATGCCTGTTTCCCATACGTAAGAGTAGTGTGTGTGCGCGAATTAAAGGCGCATTTTATGGGTCGTCGCTTTCTGAAGTCTATTGACTTGCATCAGTTTCCAGGGAAGAGCTGACACATGAAATATGGCGCAAGGGCTGTCGTACCTCAGCAAATGTCCAACCTTCTCAGGGCGGAGATATAGATGTAAATATGCCGTCTGCGCACAACTCCTATCCAATCCGGTGTCTGATGGTGGGCATGTCTTTCTTGCGATACACAGACTCCTGCCTACAAAGTTGCTGGCTCACTGCTTCCTTACTTTCACTCACGTGCCGGGCGAGCAAGAAGTGACACACATGAGCCAGTTTATTACTTTGAATGCTGCCTCGACTCGATTGTCTATCTTTATTCGTCTCTTTCTCTATTTTACGAGGCTTGTAGTGTTGAATGAAGTAGACCTGTAGGTGGGTTTCTTCCCCCCCACTTTCCCTCTATCTCTGTTCGTCTGTGTGTGTGTCCGTGTGCGTGTGTGAGATAGAGAGGGAGAGAGAGAGAGATAGAAGAGAGAGTGGGTGAGAGAGAGAAGAGGAGAGGAGGATGATCGCAGCCCAGCTACTAGCGTACTACTTCGCCGAACTTAAGGATGACCAGGTTAAAAAGGTGAGTGCTCCATTTTGTCTGACTTCACGTTTTGTGAGTGTCAATTACAGTTGTTCGTCTGACTGGGTTACCTAGCAGCGTGCATGCGTGACTGATGTGTGACTCAGGAGTCTGGGACCTATGCTTCCTTGTTGGTTTTAAACGGTCTGATTAGGAGGAAAGAGTAAATAAACGATTAAAGTACAAATGACCACTAAACACAATATAATATCGACTGATAACGGTTTGACCATGACCGCTAACAGTGACTGTCACCAGTAATGGGCTATTTTCTTTTTCGAGGGGACTTAAAAGCAGCGCACAGTGCAGGCTGCTTGCTGAGATGATCAACATTAACATGTTCTAAATTTCTTTGGGAGAAGAAAAACTGTTTCTGACTAAGTGATGAAGGTTTGCAAGTGTTTATAAATTTAATGAATGAATAATTTTTGGTCAGTGTTCGTTCAAGGGCGCAAACGGTCGCAAACACACACACACGCGCACACACACACGCGCACACACACACATATACACACACACACGCGCACACACACACACACACACACACACACACACACACACACGCACACGCACGCACGCACACTCTAGTATGATACACTAACTGATGATACAATGACTGGGAAAAGATTCAACATTTTTTTAATTCTTCACATGCACAAACACAGAACTGTTAGATCAATTAATAGCAGTTAGTGAACAGACATGAAAAACACATGGAGTCGTTTCTGAAATTTAAACAGCTTTTTTCACAGACCTTTGCAGGTCTGGTTATGTGCTGCAGTGAAATGTGTCCCAAATTAATGTTGTATACCAAGAGCCTGATTTGTGAAAATGATTTACCGTAGTTTTGTATGATATAAAGATTGACAGTGGCTCAAGATAGGATATTTGCAAAATATTTTCTGTGCAAACAGCCGAGGCTGACAAAACAGGTCAATTATTTTACTTAATTTTAAAACAAGACATGAGAGAAAAAAACGGAAGTTTTGATTTTATGTGAACATTATTTTGTTCACTTCAGAGGGGCCAAATATTATATTGGGGCTTCCTCACCTTTGCCACTTGGGAAATCCACAGCTTCACATTCTACCTAGCAACATAACCAATCAAGTCTGGTCGGTCACTCAGTACTGAGTCATGTTAGGTTCTCCAGAGCAGTGTTTTCCAACCAGGCAAAGCCCTGTTCCTATGGGTATGTGAGAACTTTGCTGTAGGTACATAAAAACATGCTATAATTTATAATAACTGCAACAAAATCACAACAGCTACATGTCACCTTAAGTCTCATTAAAGCTCAGATGGCTGATGAAAAGCTATAGTGGGTCTGAACATTATTTTTCTTTTGTGTTTTATGTTAATTGTCTCTTTGAAGGGAACTTAAAGGAGCTCCAGATTTTTGTTTAAAAAAAAAAAATAGAACGAAGTCCTTGAGCGCAAACGTTAAAGTCAAGTCAAGTTGAGTGAAGAAAGAGTTGAGTTGGAAACCATGAATGTGTACATTTCACTTTTTCACCACTGTGCAGCCCCCTTGTTTAGATTCCTGCATGTTTAAATGTGACTGAGCCTGTTTTTGTGCACCTTGAGGCATTTTTCACTCTCTTACAGTCTTTTCCATCGTTTACCATCTCCCCCACGCCCTAAAAAGTTTCTTGATCTGATAGTGTTGCCAGGCAACCGGCACAGATCCCTACCTCTATGTTTCCCCCTGTCAAAACATATATTCACATTTTCCTCCCTACAACATGTGCTCCATGATTCACTCATAAAGCCGGGGCCCCTTGAAAGTCGCTCACTGATGATGTCATCAGCTTCTCTTTCAGTCTCAGTGTCCTTTATCAATGGGGGAAAGTTTAGCTAGGTCTGTTACGCTGTGTGTGTGTGTGTGTGTGTGTGTGTGTGTGTGTGTGTTTGTGTGCTGTTATCGAACAATGGCCTGCGGTATTCAAAACACATTAAGAGCGCTGGGGATCTGATGCAATGCAGCGCATCATATGCCCTCCCTCCCTCTCTCTCGCTCTTTCTCTCTCCCTCCCTCTCTCTCGTGTCCTCTCCCGGCCTCCCTGAAATAGGCCAGCTTTGAGCCACGTGACTATAAGCACCTCGCAGAAGGCTTACGCACACTCTTGCAAGACTCCAGCCAGGTGTGCTGTTGCTGTGTAGCTCCTGAGCTGAGGGATTGTTTTTGTGACGTTTCTGCTCAACACACTGGCTCAAAAATGCGTTTGCGAACATCCACACGTCATCACTGTGTAATACAAACTCTGTCTGCAGCACTCAGTGAGTACCCGATGTTAGATGTTAGTGTGGGAAAAGTATTTTAGTTTGAGTTAATTTTTTTTTCAGTTACTAATTTTTCTTTCAAACAATACAAGAAAGACAACAAAAAAAAAAGCATACAAAATATTCAAGGTTACACCAAAAGGGGTTGGCTCATGCGAGAGCATTTTAATGCCTGTATCTCCATCCACTGCAGTGCCCTTGACCAAACACTGTTGACATTGCAACCATTTGCCCATGTGTTTCACTGTGACCAAGGCACGATGCAAGGCTAGGGTAGAGCAGAGGACAGCAGTTTTCCTTCTGTCTGTGCTTGTGTACGCACATGGCCAAACACCACAGTGTCAGGTTTCAGAGCTTCCCCAAGCAAGCTTGTGACAAGGAGAGCAGTCAATTGTTGGGAGGTGGACGGTGTGTAAGGAAGGGTGAGGGGGAAGAAAGAGGAACAAAGTTTCCATAGAGAGCGTGACCATTTCCTGAATGTGAAGGAAAAACTCCAGGTGAAGTCACAGAGACAAAAGGTGTGTGGCAAAGGTGTGTTGAGAGGGAAAAAAAAAAAAGCACACTATTCCAGCCTTACACCCCCCGCCCCCATACACACATATACCCTCTGTGTGTGTGTGTGTGTGTGTGTGTGTGTGTGTGTGCGAGAGAGAGAGATATTTATTTATTTATTTATTTTAATCAAGAGCGGCCAGTTGCCCATTGCTGGCCTTTGGGATGGGACGAATTAATGGCAATGCCATTCATTTCAATGGGGAAAGAAAGTACAGTCATACCTCAATTTTCGACCATAATCCGTTCCAGAAGGCTGTTCGAAAACCGATTTGTTTTCGAAAACCGAAACCACGCCCTTTTTAAAAATATATATTTATTGAACACGTCTGTTCACCATGGAACGCTAAACGAGGAAGCGTCACTTCCTCGTGTAAGGAAGGCGAGAGGAGTCAAGTGACGCATTCAAGTGCGCTCGGTTTGTTCGAGAACCGAAATTCGGTCGTCATCCGAGGCATAAAAAACTTGAAATTTTTGGTCGAAAACCGATTTGGTCGAGAACAAAGACGTTTGAAAACCGAGGTTTGACTGTACAGTGGTAACTTACAAGAACTTCTTATGAAAGCGCATAGCTCGATTTGCTCTCACATCAAATCAATTTTCACCATTTATTTTAATTGAAATGCCATTAATCCGTTCCAGCCCCTCCCAAACGTGCCACAGCTTTTTTTTTTTTTTTTTTTTAATGTGTTTTAATGTGACATTTTGTAGCTTGAATCAAGATTCACTCTATTTTTGAAGCAGCTTCCTTGAACAGCTCAGATAAGGCGCTGTGTCATGATTTTCTGCTGTAGAGGCAGCCATATGACATAATTGCTGCAGCAGCTCTCACCTTGCTACTGGAGCTAAACCTGTTGTGCCACTAACAGAAGTGAAAAATGAAAAAGAAACGAGTTTTTCCCTCCTCCTATGATCAAGTTGTTCAACTAAGACCCACATTGTTATTTAAACTGACTGCCTTTTCCAAATAGAAAGAGGAAAATGCTGTTAGTGTAGCCACGTTATGAATAGAAAGCCAACAGCAGAATGAGTGAAAAGGCAGTGGAAGGTCTAAAGTCAACCACAGTTCATTCTGTGATGCTGTCAGCCCTTTGTGGTTTTAACCCACCGATGCCGTTTGTGCTGTGATGCTGTCAAGGTATATGGTGTAATGTGCAGTGTGGTGTGCAATATCAGCTTTGTCAAGGCCCAATATGCAACTCCACACAGGAAAAAAAGTCAAATCAAGGATGTTAACAAATTGCAAAACAAAAAGTTGAATCATGTATTGTGGTGTGATTTTTGAATAAGTAATCAGTAGTGGGTGTCAGGGTTGACCAGTGACAATTCAGAGCATGTGCGAATGAGCTTCCAAGCCAGACTCTACATGTGGGGATGTTATAGGGAATGTAACACTGGCACACTATCGTCAACACTTGACACCATTAAGGGGAAAAAAAAATTAAGCCATATTTCAATTTGAATAAAATACAGTGGTACCTCTACTTATGAAATTAATTGGTTCTGGAAGAAATTTCTTAGCTAGAAAATTTTGTAAGTCGAGACGCGTTTTCCATGTAAATGCCCTAATCCGTTCCAAGACCCCCAAAATTCAGACATAAATGTTTTATAAAGCATAAAATTGCATGAAAATATGTAACAAATTAATGTTACAATTAGATTATTGCACAATAAATGAGAGTTGTGCATCATGTAAAAAACAATGAATAGCGTAAAGAATAAAAATGATGGTCATTTAACTTTTAACTGCATCCTCATCGTTTTTGCCCTCTTTAATGCATGTTCTCTCTCAGAAGTGGTTTTTGCCTGGCGTTTTGTAAAGAACTGACCCAAGGACGTTTGCTTTTGTCGGCTTTTAACAATCCTTCGAAAATGTCCAAGGCAAACATCAGCATAGTGAGCGATCGCCCGACTGGTGAACACTTTTTTGGTGGGTGATTCACATTTAGATAAAACTATCGGAACGCCTCATGGCCCGTGGGGCGAATGACAAGGACGCTGCATCGACACATCTATCGACACATGGACACATTCGGTAGAGGTCCCTCTTAGCCAATGGGATGCCAGGATGATGCTCAGTAATAGCCAATGGCAGAGCAACTATAAGTATGTTACGTTCAGGAAACTTGGAGCTGCGAGTAGCAGACCATACTGTATTTTTACCTTTCGTATCTTGAAATTTCTTTCCTAACAAGAGGCAATATTTTCCAGTTGAGTCGTTACGTAATTTCGTTTGAAGAGACGTTCCTAAGTAGAGGTACCACTGTATTGTTGGTCAGATGTGGTAACCCCAACCCAAATCTTAGCCGAATATTTCTTTGAATCCCTTGAAGCCGTAATTGCGGAGCATGATAAAACTTAAAAACCTTTGAAACAATTAAGTTGCTGTTTTTTTTTTTTTACTTATAGAGACCAAATGTCTCCAAATTGTCCTCTGAATGTCTGACTTTTTGCTTAGTCTAATTAATTTCCTCTGAATTAGTACACAACCACAATGACATTTTAATGATCTTGTTACACAAAGACGAGCCTTCCAGGAAATGTGACGTCAAGGCTAACGAATGGAACAAAAAAAAAAAAAAGCAATAACACTCGAATAATCTTACTTAACGTGTGTTTTAAAAGTTCTTTGGGGGGGATTGAACATTGCCGGAGTACTTCAATCCTCTGCACAACAGAAGAAGAGAGCCACGGAGCAAGTCATAGTAAGACGTGAGCCCGTTCATTCTCTGTCGTGACGCAACATTGGTTTGTTTAACATCCTTTTCAACACCACACAAGTGACACGGGCTGTGTGAGTGTGTCAACACTGTGGGAAGTTTTCTGCCAGTAAAGAGATGTGGTACGGCAAAGCACAGCTGTGTCGCAACTATGACGTATGTAAATTGGGCCAATGACACAAGTAGTCGCAGTACTGGTTTGATGTCATTCATTTCCTTTTTTTTTTTTGTGAGAGAGCAGGGCAGTAATGATCGAACAGTCTGTTCGTTTCACAGCTGAGATCAATTTAGCGCGTGGGTGTGGAATTGCATAGACATTAGCAGATCCAGTTACTCTGGATCTTTCTTTTGGAATGACACACTGTCTGTTTCTGTTTCTGTGACGCAGTATTTGATTATGTCAATAATAACTACGGTTTTAACTTTCACTATAAGTTTTATGTGATGTGACATTTTTCTTTTTTAAAGTCCCCTGGGGCCATTACCAAATTTTGGAAAACTGTGATGCAATGAATGGACAAATGTTGATTCATTATGTACGTCATGACCAATTGTGTGTGGGTTAAATGTTGTGCGGATTTTTATAGCAGCTCTACTGAGACATATGTTTTGAGAATTGCACGATGGCCCAGATCTAAGGCTCTTGTGTACCCTGATTTATGTTTGTGTGCAAACTTTCTCTCAACATTTTAGAGCTCAATAGAATTCCTTTTAGTTGAATAAGGGCCAAAGATTCTTTAATGATGTTCCACCCATTGACCTTGATTGAACCATTCATCCAATAAACAAAGGAAACAAGTCTGGATTGTTTATTATCAGCAAAAGTATCTTCAAATTTTCATACATGATGACGTGTGTCAAATCTAGTCTGAAGTTGACTTCTGATTCCGACTGAAATCTGGCAAATAACAGCCTTTTGTGACTCTTTCAAATCATTTTTTCCCCGCCTTGGGTAATAATTGGATTTTAATGAACCTTGGGTTTAAAAAATTGAACTCCTTTTGTAACCTTCCTCACATTAATGTTTAATGGTTCACATTGTCCTTTGTGTTTATTTATGCCATTGTTGTACAAAATGCCAGAAAGCGATACTTGAGTGATTTGAACAAACATTAACTTATATTGAAGTTAAAAAAAAAGTATTTGTACTTTGTCACGTTAATGGTTTCCTTTATGTGTATTGTCAGATTGACAAGTACCTGTACTCCATGCGCTTCTCCGATGAGACGCTACTGGACATCACGCAGCGCTTTCGCATGGAGATGGTCAAAGGATTGAGCCGCGAAACCTACACCACGTCATCTCTAAAGATGTTGCCGACGTTTGTCCGCTCCATCCCCGACGGCTCCGGTCAGTGTTTCTGTGTCGCGATGAGGCAAACTGTTCCCCTATCGTCCACCCTTTCGTTCCACTCATTTCGAATTTGGAAGTCCAATATGAATGGCCTCTTTTGTGCTGCCATTAGTCAGCTGATTACTTAAGCAAGCTAATCATTTTTCACACTACCCCTCAGCACATGCCATATGTAAGTGTGACTCTTTTAAAAAAGTGCTCGACTGTATTTGTGGTTTTGAGTATCTTCTCCATCATTCCAGAGTAGAAAGAGCAGACTGTGAAGTGCAGTGCATTTGACGCAAAATATTTGTTTAATTATGACAGGTGCATTTTTTTTTTGTTGTAATCTGAAAGCCATACAGCATTTGAAAATTAACCGCCGGCCCAACTCAACAAAGTGACTATTCAAATATTGCATGCACCCTTTGTTGTTGAAAGCTCTTTCACATTGACTCAGTCATTTCCTGGAATCATGTTGATTTAGCAATAAGGAACACTTTTGATTGCTATTGGACTGTTGACCCGAGTTACAATGAACTTTCAAGATACATTTCAATAGAAGTGGACAGTTGGAGAAGAATATCTTGGTCAGAACACTGCAGTATGTAGAATGCGGCAGCGTTAGTATGAACACTGCACATAACGCCCGACTCTTTATCATATATGTCCAAAACAAGAGGTGTCCTGGCTAGTCAAGCAAAATTATAGACAACTAAAGTAGATGATTTGGTGCCACGCTGCAAAATGAAAGGACACAATTGACCCTATTCTGTACCAAGTCGGGTGCAAACCTTTTTGCTGGACCACATTTTTAAAACAGACCGACTGACGATGAAGTAAAATATACCTTAACAGAAAATTTGAAGCTGTTATTTTCCATGACTACCACCATGTCCCTTCTGCTCGTTCTTTACTCATCCCCTTTTTCTTCAGTGACAACCTTACTCTTGTTTCCTACAGAGAAAGGAGACTTTATAGCGTTGGATTTGGGAGGAAGTGCCTTCAGGATCCTTCGCGTCAAAGTCAGTCATGAGAAGAAGCAGACGGTTCAGATGGAGAGCCAGATATACGACACACCTGAGGACATCATGCACGGGAGCGGCACTAGGGTGTGTTCGCGCGCGCCCACACACACACAGACACACACACACAAAGGCATCTTCGTTCTCACCTCCACCTCTGCCTTGTTCCAGCTATTCGACCATGTGGCAGAGTGTCTGGGTGACTTCATGGAAAAGCATAACATTAAAGACAAGAAGCTGCCAGTTGGCTTCACCTTCTCCTTCCCTTGCCAGCAAACCAAACTTGATGAGGTAAAACTCAATTTTAAACACCTGACGACAATTTCCTCTTGGCTCATCATCGAGCCATCTTATTTCTCAATGTCCTGTGCCAATCGTGCTTCGAAAGCAAGGGTGGGAAACTGGCAACTGCAGCCCATGACCACACCCTGAGTGGCCAATTGATTAATTAAAAAAGGAAAACAAATATTTATTTATTTATTTATTTTAATTGTATTTACACACCCCACGATTACTTTATTCCATGAAAAATGGTGGGCGAGGGGTGGCATGGCATTTGCTGGTTTAACAAAATGAGAACAAAAAAAAATCTAAATTCGCAAATTTGTGAATCCATGGGTGCCGAACTGCGGATATTCTGGTGTCAACTGTAGTTTTAAGTTGTAATATCACCAGTCACCCCTAGATGGCTGATGTGTCATAGTTGATCTTACACTGGGTCTTATGCTGCTCTATTCCCCAATGTGAGCATAATCTTTTTGGACTATATGCAGGACAAACATCTCAATAATATAAACATTTGGAGCCAATTGATTTTGTGAAAACATGTACAAAATGAATTTTTACACGAAACAACAGAACAGACCAAGTGTCTTTTTGGATGGTATACTTTTGACCTGGTGGTTACTTCATAAAAAAGATCTATGATGTTTTTCCTTCATGCTGTTGCATCTTGAGTAACAGATAGCCCCGCTTTGTCTGTCTGCAGAGCACTCTGATAACATGGACGAAGCGCTTCAAGGCGAGCGGAGTCGAGGGCTTGGATGTTGTCCAGCTGCTCAACAAAGCCATCAAGAAACGAGGCGTAAGTCATGTCTTCATCTCTGTTTGAGTTTTACATAGAGCAGGTAATAAGTCGGGGCCGCCATGACTGAAACTTTTTCTCTTCCTTCCAGGACTATGAAGCGGACATCATGGCTGTGGTGAACGATACCGTGGGAACTATGATGACGTGTGGCTTCGACGACCAACGCTGTGAAGTCGGAATTATTATTGGTATTCCATTTACAGTGTGTCCAAAGGAGAGCTAAGTTCATCCAAGAATTATTATGAAAATAATTATATTTCCTTTAGGAACTGGCACCAATGCGTGCTACATGGAGGAGCTGCGTCACATCGACCTGGTGGAGGGTGACGAGGGCAGGATGTGTGTGAACACTGAGTGGGGAGCCTTTGGAGACGACGGCTGGTTGGAGGACATCCGGACGGAGTTTGACCGAGAGATTGACCGTGGCTCTCTGAACCCCGGCAAACAGCTGTATGTTCCTTTTGCTCACTCATGCTGCTACTGAATACGTTCTTGTGTATGCTTTTTTTTTTCATCCACCTACGAGGAGACATTGTTATATAAATATGTCACAGTAGAACAGCATCCTGTTACGATCAAAGGAAGTGAAAATTGAAGAGAAAATCCTGTCTTAGATGGCTCATTGAAGAAAATACAGGGTGATCCAAAATTTCAATATCTGAGTAACTACAAGTCCGAGACCAAGGCAGAGAAACTAAATAGACTTTATGTCAAAAATTAAAAAGATGTCTTTATTGAAATGCCAGCAATTCATAATATTCAAATGTTTGCAGATTTTATAATTGACGTTGCTTCACAAATGTTGGAGTTGGTAGTTCAGCTCCTGCTGAAGTTGAATCTGGCACAGGCAACCTTGCTCATTGAATTTATTTTTGCCATGTCCAACTCTTCTTTTCATTGCTAGTCGTTCTTCACCATGAAAAGAAATAATTAAATAAACAAAATAAGATTGTCCAAAGATGTCTTGGTACGATGAAGTCTCCAAATTCAGGGGCAACTACTGGTAATTGATCAAGTGCAACTTGTGTGATCAGCAGTTTGATAACTCAAATGTTAATTGGGCTGCAGGTTTGAGAAGATGGTTAGTGGACTGTTCATGGGCGAGATGGTTCGCCTAATTCTGGTCAAGATGGCCAGGGACGGTCTGCTGTTTGAAGGAAGGATCACCGCTGAGCTTCTTACTAAAGGGAAGATTGAGACCAAGCACGTGTCCGCCATTGAGAAGTAAGTTTCATTCAAAACGGCAAACTTGATGTGCATCGTGATTCAATCGGTCATTGCTGTGCCTTAGCAGGCTACAAAGTCAAGTCAAATTTACTTTTATAGCCTTTAATGAAAAAAAACGATGATTAAGGGATATGACCAAAAGCGAGGAGAAGCGGCAGTAAAACAGGCCAAAAATTCCGATCTCATGAAACTAGTTACATATGAAGTGTTGTCTAACTAAATACGCAAGTGTAGAAACACGTAAGTCTTAATTGAAATTTAAAGACTTCTACCTAGCTAGCTGCGCTAATTTCTGCAACACATGGCAGCAGGGTTAGAGGTCAAATAGTTATGATGTGTGGTCTATGGTCACCACCTCTTCACAGGTACAGTGGAATGGCATCAGTTAGAACCAAATTTATAATTCAGCTGCAAATATTTCTGTAAACTTTGGACAAGGGTGTCCAGAGGAATATAATTTGCAATTTAGTAAAATTGCATGGCACATTTTAAAATCTTTTTTGCTTCTTTAAAAGGGGGAAGGTGTTTTTTCAAAATGACATCTTCTGCTTGCTTTATAATCAAACCTGAAATGTAGAAAACTCCCGTCTTGTAGCTTTCTCTCAATAATTCCCATGACAAGGTTCCAACTTGAAAAATTCCCAAAATAATGCTTCCCTTCCCTTGAGCTGAAAAAGTTTGTGGCACCCTACTTTATTGGATTACAGCACAGTGCCACTCTTTCTGTCTCTTGTCTTGTTTAGGAGTAAGGAGGGATTAACCAAGGCCAAAGAGATTTTAGTCAGACTTGGTGTGGAGCCCTCGGATGACGACTGCACTGCCGTTCAACATGTGGGTATTGTTTCCAAAATACCGGTAGATGTTGAAAGTCTTCTTTGTGGAATGGAGGCTGGCCTAATTCTGGCGCTATTTCATCCTCTATTCTTGGCTTCTTTGCACAGTCAATAACATGTATGTTAAGTTAATTGGAGACCATAACTGTGAAAGTCAGATTTAATGGTTGTGACATTATGCGATAGACATTTGATTGACGGATGTTAAGTGCAGGGTGAACCTCGCCCACTAATCGCACCAGATCATCTGGGATAGATTCCAGTTTTGCATTATTCCTTAGTAAGTGGTTTTGGAATAAAAGCATGCGTGGATCTTTTAATGTGTTTCTCTTCCCTCATCCGCTCCATTTAGGTTTGCACCATTGTCTCTTCCCGCTCTGCTAACCTGATAGCGGCAGTGCTTGCGGGCATCCTCAAGAGGATCAAGGAGAACAAAGGGGTGGCCCGACTGCGCACCACTGTTGGCATCGACGGATCTCTTTACAAGATGCACCCACAGTGAGTTGTGGAAACAAGCGTTTATTTGAACTCCGATCACCATCCATTTTCTGGCGACAGTGTAAATGTTGCACAGCATCTCTGTCTTGAATTAAATTCACGTCTATTGGTAACAATTGACCCAAGGTATTTGTAGCTGTCTAAAGATTGCACCACCTGGCCTTTTATGAATGTTCCCATATTGGGTCCCTATTTATGTTCAGAATCTACTGAAACACCATAATAATAAAATTATGTTTGAATTCCACAATGACAACCTCATTGACACATCTGCCTCAGGTATGCCCGTCGTCTTCATAAGGCGGTCCGTCGACTGGTCCCCGACTCTGACGTGCGGTTTCTCCTGTCAGAGAGCGGTAGTGGAAAAGGAGCCGCCATGGTGACGGCGGTGGCCTACAGACTCGCTGAGCAATCGAGGCAAATCGCACAAACTTTGTCAGAGTTCCGCCTGACGACCGATCAGCTGCTGGAGGTGAGGAGTGTTATTTGTTTAGGCATGTGAGCGTATATCTGAGTTTTACTAATGATGTTGTATGTTTCTCCAGGTAAAGCAGCGAATGAGGACTGAGATCCAAAATGGCCTTTCGAAGGCTACGCAGGAGTCTGCCACCGTGAAAATGTTGCCAACGTTTGTGTGCAGCACTCCCGATGGCACAGGTTAGACACTTACTCATTTTCTTGTGAGGACTCAGTAGGTATGCTGTATAAATGTGTCATATGAATACTTTACATGCATTTGGACAGCTAGCTATTGCGCTCACAAATAATAGAAGAAAATGTGGATTTGGTCCACCATTTACGGCGAGAACAAATTTCAAAGGTAGTAGGCATAACTCTTAATTTAATGAAGCAGTCTGATTTTATTAATAAATGTCACATTTGTCCTTTTCGTGTTAATAAGGGATCCGGAAAGAAGGGATTTTTCAAGTTATTAGTCTCAATGCAGTGCAGTTTGGCATTTGACACTTTTACTTGAGATAACAGCCAAGGTCAAGCCTGAGAAAAGCAGCAGCAAAAAGAGAAGGCGCTATCATTAGTCTAAGGAGCTGTGCCATGTCCTGATGTACTCCCATACACGTTGTGACCTGACTTTCATATAAACAAGTCTGCACTGAGAAAGTCTTAGCCTGGCAAGAACAGCTTCCTCACCCCATAATCCGTCATTGATACGGTGTACTGTAAGTTCCTGTTTTGAAAACATGGGAGTTCTCATTATTAAAACAAAATATAACCTGATTTACCGCAATTTCACGACCATACGGCGCACCGTATTGTATTATTGGACGCAGGGGTAAAACATATGCTAGCTTAGAAAATATGGTATCATGCATGCATGCTAGCGTATTTCGTATGTTTTTAAAAAGGCAGCAGGAACAAAACTGAGTTCAGTTGTACTTTATTGAAGAATTTTAAAATGTACTCGTGTTATTTCTTGATCAGTCCTCCTCCTCAAATCCATCAAAGTCCAAATCTTCTGTCTCCGAAATTAACAGCTGCACAAATTCTCCCATCATACACGCCAGGTTCTCTCGCATCATTATCAGAGTCACTCTCGTTGCTGTGGGGCTCCTCAGAAATGATGCCGGCAGAGCGGCAAAATAAAGGATTAAAATCTCCAAGAAAGCGTCTTTATTTAATGTAACGCAGAACATGAAACTTTTTACTGCAGTAGGAGCGGAAGATGGCCTACTTTTACTTGTAATCCGCCGGATGTTGCTGTGCCACGTTCGTCCTTGCCCGGATGGTTTGATGGCGCTGTTTCATAAATACAAAGTACCAAGCACCATGGATGAGTTGATCTTGAATTCTGCAAATGCATTTTGAGCTTGCATAGAACTGATTATTTTGTCAACATGTCTTTCTGTCTGACTGCAGAAAATGGCGATTTCCTGGCCTTGGATTTAGGAGGAACCAACTTCAGGGTACTGATGGTCAAAATTCGTTCTGGGAAGAAAAGAACAGTGGAGATGCACAACAAGATTTATGCCATTCCTCTCGAAGTGATGCAGGGAACAGGAGAGGAGGTGATCTTAACATCCGATTGAAAAGATCATGCAGTTCATGCCGTAAAAATAGGCGACAGCATATAACCTTGACAAAATCGATGTGAAGGGTGTGGGAAGTTGCCAGGTTAGTGGTAAGCTTATAAGCAGCACTGTAGCTGTTTTAATGTAGACTGGCTGGTATGGTGTTTAGGATTAGTGGTGACTTCACTTTTTTTTTGTCAAGATAATCCGGTCTGTTACCTTTTGACCCTTGCTTCACTTAAAAGAAAAACTGTTGACCTACAAAACAACACATTTATCGCCACACTCTCACATAATGTTACATGCCTGTCATGCTTTTCATCTTTCAGCTGTTTGATCACATTGTGCATTGTATAAGTGACTTCCTGGACTACATGGGGATGAAAAATGCTCGTCTTCCTCTGGGCTTCACCTTCTCATTCCCCTGCCTTCAGACCAGCCTGGATGCCGTGAGTAGCTCTCTGTCTGTAGTTTTCTCAACATGTGGCATTTTCTGAGCCTGCGGATGTATGTGTGTGCGTGTCTACAAAGGGCGTTCTGGTGACGTGGACAAAAGGGTTCAAGGCAACAGACTGTGAAGGAGAAGATGTGGTGGGGCTTTTGAGAGAGGCCATAAAAAGACGAGAGGTTGGAAAAAAGTTTGTTGGGACCTCTTACATCAAATGCAATCTATTCCATGACACTCTGAATATGAATAATAATTAGTAGTTTTAAAAAATATTAGAAATAGAAATGACCTGTACAGTCATTAGCCATTATAACAGCGATCCTAAATGTACAGTGAATGACTCTAATGAGTTGACTTTCATTGTTTCCGCTCCTTTTAATGAAATAAACTTGGGTCACTGTAACTCTTTGTTTCTTCGAAAGGAATTTGACTTGGATGTTGTGGCTATAGTCAATGACACCGTGGGCACCATGATGACCTGCGCGTACGAGGAACCCACCTGTGAGATTGGGCTCATTGCTGGTCAGTTTACATTTTATAAAGGGAACTTCAAAGAGATGATCCAAATAATAAATAGAATAATAAAATGACTTGATGTCTGCATGTAGGCACCGGCAGTAATGCCTGTTACATGGAGGAGATGAGGAACATTGAGATGATAGACTCCAATGAAGGGCGAATGTGTGTCAACATGGAGTGGGGTGCCTTCGGTGATAATGGATGCCTCGATGACATCAGGACCGAGTACGACCGTGCTGTGGATGACTTCTCTCTCAATCCAGGAAAACAGAGGTACAACACTAAGACAAACACGTACATATACTCGCTTTATGGGCTGGACTTCGATCGATCTACGGGGCATCTAGAATGTATTCACGGCACTTCACTTTTTGTCACGAGTACTTTCCACTTACACTAAATGTGTATTTATACATGATTTGCCGCGTGTGTGTGTGTGTGTGTGTGTGTGTGTGTGTGTGTGTGTGTGTGTGTGTGTGTGTGTGTGTGTGTGTGCGCACTACAGATACGAGAAAATGTGCAGTGGTATGTACCTTGGCGAAATAGTGCGGAACATCTTAATAGACTTGACCAAGAGGGGCTTCCTCTTCAGAGGGCAGATTTCGGAGACGCTGAAGACCAGAGGCATCTTTGAAACCAAGTTCCTCTCTCAGATTGAGAGGTAAGAAAACCACCTCAATCTACACTTTTTTAATTTAGCCAGATACTCAGGAAGATGCTTGCTTACCTCAGTAATGTTCTCACTCAGAGTGGGTGTGTGAGTTAGTCAATCAATCAATCATTAGGTGGAATTGGAATTATGTGGACTTGATTGTTGATTATTCATGTCTTAAAGCAGTTGATGCGAACTCGCATACTGTATTTAATTACAACCAGAAGAGACGTTATTGATTCAGCATCAACAGGTACTGTACGTCTCAATATACTAGGATGTCATGGAAAAGTTTTAAGTAACACTTGTAAGTTCTTCAACTAAAAGGGAAAAAAAAAACCAAACAAACAAAAAAAAAAGACCCACTCATTTAGGTTCACTACAGAGAGTGAAATTTTAGAATACCGTTATTTTATTTTTCATAGTTTTGATGATTATTGCTTCCAGCTGATGAGAGCCTTAAAGTCATCGTCTCAAGTAACAGGAATATTACATGAGAAACAATCAAATGCTTGACAATTTAAAAATTAGGTGGACAAATTTATCTAGATATTCATATCTCCCTTGTGCTCAAAACAAGACCTCACAACAGAAAATCCCTTAGAAAATCATATTGGGAAAATAACCATTGCTTTAATTTGTTATCACCGGTAGATGAATTTTGTTAAATATCCATCCCTAGTTGAGTATTCTTCAACTTGATTAAAATTATTTTTTTCATCCTGGTGACTCTTGATGTGTGTGTCTTCCTCCAGTGACAGATTGGCGTTACTTCAAGTGAGATCCATCTTGCAACACCTTGGCCTGGACAGCACCTGTGATGACAGTATCATTGTCAAAGAGGTACGGTTTCGCCAGATTGCTCAGTACACCGAATAAGAATATATTCCGAGCGACTTGGTGTGAAGCTGTTGAGAAATGTGCACGTTCACTGTTTGTCATTTAAAACAAATACGTTTAACATTCACACTGTCATTTTCTTCTTTTGAAGCTAATAATGTACTGTACCATGATATTTTTTTTTTTTTTTGTGTGTGTGTGTGTTGGGGTTTCTTTTCATGTGGGCAGTAGCTCTCACCTGCTCTTTGCTGATTGGTGGTCCTTATTCAGCCGACCAATAAGTGCACTGGAGAGTGACCCAATCAGCAACTAACTAGTTTCAAGTGTGCCACCACCTGCAAAGATTAACCAGACTGTTTCAAGGGATTCCGTTGTTTTCAGCTGGGGGGGTTTCGTGAATCTTGTAATGTTTGTCAGACCCAATCCCTCGTGTGTCCTCGGTAGCTATGGGAAAAGTGAAGCCTCTTGAACTAATGAGACATTGTCTCTTACATATCAGCCAAGGGTTCATCACTCGATGTTACGTTCCTATTAGCTCTTTAAGGACCCCTGCTGCACAGTGAGCAGTACTGCAGTTTGTTTGAAACGAAAGCTTGCAATGGTGCTTCACTCCAAATTATGACCGTGTATTGATGTTTGTCTATGTTCCTAATACTCTGTACACACTACGCTGCACCTAAACTAAACGACTGAATCTCAACTATTTTTCTATGGACAACTGAACTAACTGACCATATTTGAACTTTCTATCTCTGGGTCTATAACTGAATGAATGGATGACTACCTGAATTACAAATTAACTGAATTTAATAGCTAATTCAAGATTAATAACTTGCAAAACAATACCTGTGAACAGTACCTGGTCACATGACCTTTTCCGCTTGGCCGCCCCAAATGAGACCAAGCCATGGTAGCGCATCACATTTTGCTCCTCTCCAACCTCCCACACCTATGTTAGACCCTTCCTCTTTTGCCATCGGTCATAAAGGTACTAACTACTCCTTGTCAACTATGACTACAAATGGAATACTCTAGCTTCGGCTGGTCTCGAGGTTTCTGCTCTCAAAATACTCTGCAATTATTGTTTTAATTAAAAATATCTTGGTATGTTGTACAGCCCTCATATTTCCCCCTATATTTGACTCAAGGTATCCCCAGGGCTCAATCTTGAGTCCGATGCTATTTTTAATTTAACATTGTACTGCTTCCAAGGGTCAATCCATGGGCTCAGGGCTGCAACCCCGGGGTTCAATTTTAATCCAATACTATTTTGAATTTAGAAAGGATTTTAACATTGTGCTGCTCCCATTTGAACTTTCACACCCTGACTAGTTTCAGCAGAGTCTTATCAAAACAAACTCTTTTGAACCGTATTGTATCTGTGCTGGGGCTGTTGAATAAAATACAGTTGGTGCACATTTGTTAGGAAATTTTGAAACTTACAAAACATTTGCACAACTGTGCGTTGTAAAAAAGCTTTGTGTGTGACTATCTGTAAATTTGACATGTGGAAATGCATGTCTTTAAAGGTTTTTTGAACTGATGAGATTCAGTATAGCGCTGTGTTGCAATGAAGATTTTTTTTTTCTTTCTTATTCAGGTTTGTGGAGCAGTGTCACGTCGAGCCGCTCAGCTCTGTGGGGCAGGAATGGCGGCCGTTGTTGATAAAATCAGGGAAAACCGTGGCTTGGACTATTTGAACATCACTGTTGGGGTGGATGGGACTCTCTACAAACTCCATCCACAGTGAGTTACATTATTGCAATTTTGTTCAACCAAAAACGATTCTCTGCGATTGCCTCATTAATCCAGGTTGGAAAAGGGCATCCTTCTCATTTCCAGCACAAATTATCCAGCAAACCTGATAAAAGGACATTCAAAATTCTAAAAATGTTCTTTTTAATTGTTGCAGGTGAAGTAAGCAGTCACTTGACATCATCCCAACTAATTATCTTTTCTGCACAGCTTCTCCCGGATCATGCACAAAACCGTCAAGGAGCTGGCTCCTCACTGCCATGTCAACTTCCTGCTGTCGGAGGACGGCAGTGGCAAAGGGGCAGCGCTCATCACAGCTGTGGGCGTCCGGTTGAGACAAGAGGTCAACAGTTAATAACTGTCACAGTCCAGTGTCTTCCCATGACTGGCCCCTTACTGCTCTGCCCCCTCCTCTGTCCCACACCCAGGAGCTGCTGTAGTGCGTCCATGAGGAAAAAAAAATTAGTTGCACAATTGCTATATTACCTGTAGAACATGTTGAAAGTTCGAAGATTATAGCTCATTCAATTGCTATAACACACCCCTGCAACTTTGCTTCGTGGTGTGTAATGTTGCCACCTTCGGGATTTTTCTAGTAATTGCAAGGTGTTGATCGTAATACTGTACAGTACTGTACAATGGTCTCACTGCCGTCAGTTTCGTGTCGCATTAATGTTCTTCCATGATAATAAGTAGCTGCATGTTTATGAAATCTTATTCTGTACCAAAGTTAGCTGAATGTGTCTGCACAAAATACACAAATATATATGAAGGGAGGCACAGTGGTTGACTGGTTCGCGTGTCCGCCTCACAGTACAGACTTCGTGGGTTCAAAACCGGTGTGTGGAGTTTGCATGTCCACCCCGGTTTCATCCCACATTCCAAAAGCATGCATAGCAGGTTAATTGTCCCAACTTCAAATTGTCCCTCGGTGTGATTGTGAGTGCGAATGGTTGTGTCCGTGTGCCCCTGCGATTGGCTGGCAACCAGTTCAGGGTGTACCCCGCCTACTGCTCGAAGACAGCTGGGATAGGCTCCAGCACACCCGCGTAACTCGTGAGGATAAGCGGATCAGATAATGGATGGATGATATGTGAAAGGGAATTTTGTTGGTGCTTTAAAGCTTTTAAGATATCATTCCGGTATTCAATAGATTTGACATGTAGTGTTATTTATTTTATTTTTATATCTGGAGATGATTACGGTAAACGCTGCAATAATGTCGCACAAGTACACATACAAAGAGAAAGCTGTTGTTCTAATCAGCTCAGTCATGTAAACGTGAATATTGAACATGGAACATCCAATCTCTGCTCGGGTGACACATGCTTACTGAACGTGCTTGTGCTCCTCTTCTTTTGTGTTCCATTCTCTTGTAATCTCCTGTAAATTATTTCCAAAGAACAATTGTCCTTGTACACAATCCTGGGGTGCTGCTGTCTAGGCGGTGCAAATCCATCAATTTGTTCGCAAAAGGAATGAAAGTGCTTGAGGTGTTATGGGTGCCAGTTGCAGCACCACTAGCCCAAATCTGTGGAAGGACATTACACTTGCTGAAACTTTCAGATCATTTGAAACATTCTGATGAGGAGGATTTTAAATATTCTCACTTCTTGTATGATAAATGCTCTTTAAACTCAGGAGGAAGATATTTAAGTGATCAATTATGTTTTGTTTTTTGCTTTACGAAAAGTGAATGCTAATGCATGGGTTGGAAATCCTCTTTGAGTTCCTGGCGTCCATCAGGGCTCCATCCTCGGTGCATAACTATTTGGAACTTGAAGTATAGCGATGTTTGCGAATCCACTTGCGCTCAGCCCTTCTGTTGCAGGCATGGGCAACTTAAATGCTGGAGGGGGCCACACTATTTCATCAGTCCTACTGTTTGTCCCAATAAGAATAGCTCTTGAACCTTTTAGCATTCTAGATGGGGTTTTGGGAGAATATTGTAACAGTGACATAAAGTCACATACCGGGGTCCCTGAAATATATACCATTTTAGAATAGACAAATTGAAGCTGCTACGGTGTTGTACATAAGAAATAAATCACACTTATGTGGGCAAGAGAATATAATAACTCTCACGAATGGCAGAGTAAAACCTGTTTTTGCCTCAATGGTCACTCCATAATTGTCAATATTTATCACAAACACTTGAATTGTTTAGCTGTATCTGTTCAACACTGTCAGTCATTCAATAAAGTCAAAGCAATGTCAGAATTACTGATGCCTTGGTCTGTCAAAACTGCCATTTGCGTTGTTTGCGAACCAAAATAAAATCCACGTACGGTTTACTGGAAAATATTCTCACATTTATTAAATACTTGAAATATGTTCAGGTCTTGAACAACTGATGCTGTTTTTGCAGACAACAAACCGATCGTTCACATTGTGCCATTGCTTTTTAGTAAATAGCATCGAGAAAGTTTCCACTAAGTTCAGGATGATTACCATTGATTAGTTACCTGACAAAACAATGACATTTATATTACATTAATACATTTATCTTTATTTTTTTTTCCCCAAGCAGAGCGCAAAGAAGAAAGTGTGTGAGGAAAGACAATAAGTTTAAGCGAAAGGGAAAGTCTTGTAAGAGCAGACAAAGCGGTATTTGAAGATTTAATGTATTTGCCAATAGGTACTGCAGTGGACACGAACAAAGCACGAGGGCATTTCCAGCCGGCTCTCACTTCAAATAGCATGATTTTTAATCATATGGATGATAATTACTCCACGATGTGAAAATACTTCCAAATTATCTCACTTGAACATTAACTGAAATTGTTCATTAACAGCAAATGATGTATCGCCGCACATCTATGTAACTCAGTGTGCTATGGTGACAGGCAGAACAATCCAAATGCTCTTCCACCAAATCGGGAAGGTACCGATTTGATTTTTTTTTCCTAATTATTATTTTGTTATGTACTTTATATTTTTATAATATCCTTTCATGGTACAACATGCACTCAGTTTCTTTGAGAGTCCATGGCTAGGCCTGTTCCGAGTGGCACCTGGCACTTTTGCCATTTTCTGCAATATGAATTAATTGTAGATTAAAGATAACTACAATTTCATTTCGATGATTCATTAATCTAGTTCAAAATATCTTTAATTGACTTCATTTAAAGATAGGTACCTATTAAGATATCTATCTACACGTCCTTTTTCAGGTATATTAAATAAATTTTTAACATGGCAAAATAATGACGTAGCTATGGCTTTCACCTAGTCACAGTTCACGTTGTATCTTGATTGAAAATTCCAACTATTCAAAAATGTAATTATGCGCTTGCTATAATGAAGGTGCCATATGGAACTTCCAGTGACCAGTATGAGAGCGCAATAACACCAACTTTAGCATACCTAAACGGTTCAAATTCAGCAGCAGTATGCACTGAAATACTACAGGTAAGGTGAAAGAAAATGAGACGGCCCTCAAAGTTGGCCAGCAACAGCAAATCATTCGGTTGCTAAACACAATTCAAAAACATCACTGCAACATGCATGTCCTCTGTTTTCACAGGAAAGCATGATGGCGGCCTCTCTTGTATCTGTGAGACCTAAAACAACTTCTCGGGCCCATCCATGCCCACGTACTCTTTGCTCCACGGTTAATGACAGCCGTGATGACTCGCCATCATCCTTGTACGCAACCTTTGTTTTCAATTTGCATCATCTGCGTTGATTGCATGGATGGGGGAGCGTGCGTTGGTTTTGCGTAGGCTCTGTGTCATGGTCACTCTGAAGGTGTGTGTGTGCTGCAGCTCCATCTTATCCTCCTCTGACATTTTGATGAAGGGACACCAAGAAAAGGCATGGCGGAAACCAGCACGGAACCTGCAACGTAGGAGGAACTTTAGAAACGATCCGATTCGGATGCATTTGAGAAGTCCCCCTGAAGTAGGAATGCAAATGTGAGCTTCACCTTTGGTTTAGACAGCAGTAAATGATGGGATTGTACATGGTCGAGCTCATTGCGAACCAAAATATGGAGAGGTAAACCTTTCAAGGAGGAGAAAGAGAATATAAAACCACTAATTGGGCATTCGTCACATTTGCTCACTCCTGCTAACAATAAAGCAAAGCATTAATTTTCACTTAACAATTTATCTTTGAGGTTTGCATGCACTCACACACACACACACACACAAACACGCACACACACACACACACACACACACACACACACACACACACACACACACACACACACACACACACATACTTGAATAGTACATAACATTGGCCACGGATCAGTGCATCAACATATGTAGGGTGGAAACTGCTAACCTGTTGTATGTACTGTTGCTTGTAAATGTCTCTGTTGATTGATCCCAGTATGAAATAGATATGGTAGGGCAACCAGCAGAGAGCAAAGGTCACCACTACAACAACCATCATCTTTGCTACCTGAGAGACAAAGGCTTTGTATGTCAACGCAGCGGAGACATTTTTTTTTTTTTTTTTGCTGGTGGAATAAATGGCAGTCATAAAGTGGAACAAGCTGACCTTTCTCTTTGCAGTGATCTGGCTGTGGTAATGGTCCGACGCTTCTCCTGGGATTTTGCTCCCCCACAGTGTCTGGCCCACCAAACTGTAGGTCACCAGCATCACCAGCAAGGGGAGCAAGTAGATCAGCAAAATCACAGCAAACTGGTAGCTGAAAAGGTAAGCGTTCGCATTTTTGTCAATTGGATTCCAGAACAGATTAAAATTAAACTCAAATTCTAATACAAAACGACTACAACTTGTATACTACTGGCCCGCTCCTCCAGCATGCTACTTGATTTTTTTGGGGCGGAGGGCTAATTGTCATTTACTGCCTCATTCCTACCCCAGAAACAAACTAATTTGTTTCTTTGGCTAACAGTTCGATCTGTATTGGAGGATTGTGCTTCTAATAACATCACATCACATCACATCAGCTCCTCCAGCATGCTACTTGATTTTTTTGGGGCGGGGGGCTAATTGTCATTTACTGCCTCGTTCCTACCCCAGAAACAAACTAATTTGTTTCTTTAGCTAACAGTTCGATCTGTAGTGGAGGATTGTCCTAATAACATCACATCACATTACATCGCGTCGCACCTGAGTTGGTGCGTTCCTCCATAGTTATCCGGCCAGTCAACCATGCAAACAGTTCTGGGGTAGTAAAATCTGGTCACGCTGTAATAACACTGTGGGAACGCCAGCAAGACAGCCACGATCCAAATGACTGCGATCACGACCTTGGTGGAGGTGGAGGAGAGGCGAGGCTTCAAAGGGTGGATGATGGCCATGTATCTAAAGCAAAGAAAGGTTAATGCATTCATATGCGTTCTGAAAACACATTACCCTCAGGCAAATCGGACATCACAACTGCAGCTCAATTACGATTTTACTTTTTGCGCATGTGCGACACAAAGCTTCAGTCATTTCTATCTGTGGGCCTTTAGATTTCATCGGCTTTTTGGGGAGTTCTAAAATGTATTTAGCACTCTTTAAAAGTTTTTGAGGCGATTAATAGACGGTTCTTTGCCAACACATTTGCATGACTTTGATTAACATGGAGCTCTCGTTGCACCACGACAGTCCCTTAATCCGATCCAATGGACGAATCCACTGGTGTCAAACTCAAAGCCCACTCGGGGGCACCCTCAGAAAGCCAGCCACGATCCAAATGACTGCGATCACGACCTTGGTGGAGGTGGAGGAGAGGCGAGGCTTCAAAGGGTGGATGATGGCCATGTATCTAAAGCAAAGAAAGGTTAATGCATTCATATGCGTTCTGAAAACACATTACCCTCAGGCAAATCGGACATCACAACTGCAGCTCAATTACGATTTTACTTTTTGCGCATGTGCGACACAAAGCTTCAGTCATTTCTATCTGTGGGCCTTTAGATTTCATCGGCTTTTTGGGGAGTTCTAAAATGTATTTAGCACTCTTTAAAAGTTTTTGAGGCGATTAATAGACGGTTCTTTGCCAACACATTTGCATGACTTTGATTAACATGGAGCTCTCGTTGCACCACGACAGTCCCTTAATCCGATCCAATGGACGAATCCACTGGTGTCAAACTCAAAGCCCGGGGGCCATTTTTGGCCTGCTACATCATTTTATGTGTCCCGCAAAAGAAAATTATGTCCACCGACTTCATGTTTCTTGCTAAATTACCAAAATTACAATTTGTCTTCATTTTATAAAATGTTGAGATATTTCAAGCATGTTTTGTTCCCAATCCCCTTTTTAAAATAAATGTCATATTTGAACAAATTTTACTGATGCTTGAATTCAAAACTATTTATTCACCTGTTTTGTTGTGTATTGTATATGTCATATGAGGCGATCATGTTTTATTTGGTTTCTGACATAATGGCCCACCGAAGTAAACCACAACTCCGATGTGGCCCCGACAAAAATGCGTTTGACACCCTTGAACTAAAAGATTGAGATGCTGAAATGCTGCAGCCTTCGTCCGCCATTCGTTGTTGGGGTCACCGAGGTTCCGCTTCTTCTGCCTTATCAACCATTGAGCTCTTCTTTGAAGGGTGAAGAGCAGCCTGTGGCCTTCCTTTGACATGTTTTGCTTTTAGTTCTTTGAGGTGCCCATCCATCCACCTCAAGAAGTAAATCTCAAGGGGAGCTGCTTTAGCCACTAGCTAACCTCGGAAAGAGGGGTTTCCATGGTCACCCGTGGGTTGGACCAGACCCGCGTTTATCTTTGAAGAAATATTTGAAAGCCCCATCTGATTTAACATCTATTGAAAGTCCGATTTTATTCCGTCATTCACACAAATGATAATGGCTGTACTTTGTAGGCGTCCATTCTTTTAAATTAATTAGCACATTGACTTGACAATGGAGTCATTGTGTGCATTAGTCAGAGACAATGATCAGATTCATGTTTTCTCTGCAATTCTGGTTTTGTAACAGCTTGGGTTATTATGTTGTGCTAATATATTTGGGCAGGAAGAAGCTATGTGATTATGTCATCATTATTCTATGAATGATCTTTCTAGTCTACTCAAATGACAAATATAAAGCAACAACGCATTTCTACGACTTATTCAAAGTGCACACCGACACTGATATATATATATGTATTTTTAACAAATCAAATCGTGACTCATTCAGTTGAATCATTTAGCACCACAAGAGTGGGCGTCTTGCCTGAAAGCACAGAAGTATAATTCCATTCATCAACTCATCAGATAAAAAAAATATTTTGTGTTAAAGTGTAACACAAATAATTTTTTCCACATTACTGTTTATTAACCAATTGTTGTTTGTTTCAGAGTGTTTAGTGGTTAAAAAATAACTAAACAACATTTAAGCAATATCACAACCGTGGGATTGATGTAATCACCGACATTTTAGAAACTGGTTGAGTAACTGATTTGGTTATTGTTTTCCGAAGTAACAGTAGTTGTTTGCGTCTTATTTTGAATGAAGACAAAAAAGGTAATCAGTCTGTTTTCGTGAAGGACTGCAGAAATCAGAGAACAATTACTGCTGAGAGGCTGAAATCAGAGGATTTGGACAATTTTACATGATGAAATGGCTCTGGAGAATTATTCGGTTATTACAACAGTTGTCCATTGATTTTATAAGTGATGCGTTTTTTTTTAATTAATTAAATTTAATTTAATTTCGACACCTCGAGCTGACACCTTACTTATCTTTGATTGGATATTGTTCGATGGTGCAGGTGTAAATGAAATGTAAATTCAAATTGTTTTTTGGCTTCGTGTGAGCAAATATACACTGACATTAAATGGAAAAACATAAAATAATAGTAATAGTGAAATTGCAGAGAAAAAAAGACTCAATTATTTCCGTAATCCACTGTTTGAATCGCCTCTTTTTTGTCTCGCCAAAGCTGTCTTGGCATGGCCGCTTGCTTCTGCAGTTCTACCTGCATCACTTACTGCTATGCACTCTCTCGCAGCCAAAATTCAGCGTAAAATAACTTGTTCTTCACCTCGTAAAGCCTTTATGGAGCCAAAACAAACCAAGAATGTCACAAAGAGTATATCATATATACTGAAATAAAAGCGATCTTCTCTCAATGTTCTCATAAATGGACTCACTCAGTGTAAAATCTGGGCAAACGTAAAGCTATTATTCTATTGTACAAATACAAAAGTTGAATTGTGTAGTCTGCCAAGTCGCTCATGGTGAAGTGGTACACACGCTGGACTTGTGTGTGGGCAGCGTGGGATCGGTTCCCCCTCATTAACAATGTGAATGTGGGTGTGAATGGTCGTTTGTCTCTATATGTGACCTGCGACTGACTGGCGACCACTTCAGGGTGTAGTCTGCCTTCTGCCCAAAGTCAGCTGGGATAGGCTCCAGCAACTCCCCACGACCCTGTTGTAACAGTAGTTGTTTGCGTCTTATTTTGAATGAAGACAAAAAAGGTAATCAGTCTGTTTTCGTGAAGGACTGCAGAAATCAGAGAACAATTACTGCTGAGAGGCTGAAATCAGAGGATTTGGACAATTTTACATGATGAAATGGCTCTGGAGAATTATTCGGTTATTACAACAGTTGTCCATTGATTTTATAAGTGATGCGTTTTTTTTTAATTAATTAAATTAAATTTAATTTCGACACCTCGAGCTGACACCTTACTTATCTTTGATTGGATATTGTTCGATGGTGCAGGTGTAAATGAAATGTAAATTCAAATTGTTTTTTGGCTTCGTGTGAGCAAATATACACTGACATTAAATGGAAAAACATAAAATAATAGTAATAGTGAAATTGCAGAGAAAAAAAGACTCAATTATTTCCGTAATCCACTGTTTGAATCGCCTCTTTTTTGTCTCGCCAAAGCTGTCTTGGCATGGCCGCTTGCTTCTGCAGTTCTACCTGCATCACTTACTGCTATGCACTCTCTCGCAGCCAAAATTCAGCGTAAAATAACTTGTTCTTCACCTCGTAAAGCCTTTATGGAGCCAAAACAAACCAAGAATGTCACAAAGAGTATATCATATATACTGAAATAAAAGCGATCTTCTCTCAATGTTCTCATAAATGGACTCACTCAGTGTAAAATCTGGGCAAACGTAAAGCTATTATTCTATTGTACAAATACAAAAGTTGAATTGTGTAGTCTGCCAAGTCGCTCATGGTGAAGTGGTACACACGCTGGACTTGTGTGTGGGCAGCGTGGGATCGGTTCCCCCTCATTAACAATGTGAATGTGGGTGTGAATGGTCGTTTGTCTCTATATGTGACCTGCGACTGACTGGCGACCACTTCAGGGTGTAGTCTGCCTTCTGCCCAAAGTCAGCTGGGATAGGCTCCAGCAACTCCCCACGACCCTGTTCAGGATAAGCGGTGTTGAAAATGGATGGATGTATACTCTGCCATCTACTGGAAGAATATGTAATTGCTCTTCATGTCACAATATGTCACTGGTGTAGAAAGACACATTATTTATTAATTAAAAATAATTTTAATACCAATTAAGTGAAATTTGATAATTTCCTGGGGCCCACATTATGATCTCTCTCCTTGCTTGTGAGATACAATACCTGCATGTGTGACCATGTCAGGGTGTTTGTAGTGTTTTTTTTCAGTTTGCAAAAACCTTCCCTTACCTGTCCACTGCGATGGCAGCCATTGAGTATATGGATGAAAACATGGCGGTGATGGGGAAGAAGTTCTGGAATCGACAGTAGCCCAGGCCAAAGTACCAATCGTTGTGCAGCGCGTAGACAAAATTGAACAGAGTGTTGAAAGTTGCCATTGAAACATCGGAGAAAGCCAAGTTGACGATGAAGTAGTTAGTCACAGTCCTCATCCGCCTATGAGCCAGAATGATCCAGATGACCGTCACATTCCCGGTGACAGAAACCAGGATGATGAGCGAGTATGCCAAAGCCCACATAGCCACCTGAGAAAAATGGTCAGAAGAGATTTGATTTCACACAAGATACTTTTCATGATATCCACTGAAATTCCTTGCCCTGAGATTGGTTTGAAGCAAGAGCTGCCATGTACCTGCCAGTCAGGCTGTTGAAATTGATTCCCTGTGGTCTCATTGACATCCTCCAGAGAGTCTCTGGTAACAAGCATTGGCAGCAAAGTGGCCCTCAGGTCCCGTTCAATACGCTGAATTGAATCGTCACTGTCCATGTTTGTGTCCCTCGTCAACTGTTGACATAGGAACACGAATGTCAGAAATCTATTTTTGTTGT